ACCTTACATTTAAAGAACACAATAAAGTAGCCGTCACAACTGCAAGAAAAATGACAGGTTGGATAACAAGAACTTTTCACATTAGAGATGCTATACCGATGATGATACTCTTCAAAACGCTTGTGCTCTCTAGAGTGGAGTACTGCTGCACAATGACAGCCCCTTTCAAAGCTGGAGAAAATGCTGACTTAGAGAGTGTGCAAAGATCCTTTACTGCTAGACTTCACTCAGTAAAACATCTAAACTATTGGGAACAACTAAAATACTTAAATCTGTATTCTCTTGAGCTCAGGCGGGAGAGATACGTAATAATTTACATATGGGAATATAGTAGAGGGGCTGGTCCCAAACCTGCACACAGAAATAACACCAAGAGACCAGAAGGCATGGCAGGATGTGCAGAATTCCCCTGTTGAAAAGCAGTGCAATAGGTACTTTAAGAGAGAACTCTATCAACATCAGAGGCCTGAGACTGTTCAACACGCTTCCACTACACATAAGGGGCATAACTGGCCGACCCCTCACAGTGTTTAAGAGAGAACTTGACAAGCACCTCCAAAAAATACATGATCAACCTGGCTGTGACCCATACGTCAGGCTGCGACCAGCCGCATCCAACAGCTTGGTTGGATGTCCAGCTACGAAGAGGCCTGATCGACAACTGGGCCACGGGGACGCTAAGCCCTGAAATCATCTCAAGGTAACCTCAAGGTAAGGTAACAGTTCAGTGCAGATGAGTGTGTCTTTAATGAAGAGGCTAACCTCACCCTGCAGCCTGTTTCCTGTCACATCTGAAAAAATTGTACTCCGGTATACATATTTCACTATCATAGTAGGAGGCCTGGTTGAGGACCGGGCTGTGGGGACGTTAAGCCCCGAAATCATCGCAAGGTAAGGTAGCCCTCTGTGTGGGCTTCAGTTAGGGATGTAAACACCTCATTTGCCTCATGTAGGAGGTCATTTATAAAGCAGACTTCATTGGATTTGCATGTTTGGTACCCTGAATGTTGGCAAATACAAATGGTATCATATTTGTTGAACTTGAGTGACTTCCACAACACCCCATATTACACTTTACTCCCACACAGATACCCTATATTAAACTTTACTCCTACACATGGATCTCTAAGATACCCTCCCTGTATTAGACTCTTGTTCTCAGCATTGGTCACTGATAATGCTTATCTGTGTATGACTATTGCTGTTACTATAGTGTATTTATATATAACTACAGCAAGTACTGTTGTAGTGTATTTATGTATGACTACAGCAAGTATTATTGTAGTGTATTTATGTATGACTACAGCAAATATTATTATAGTGTATTTATATATGACTACAGCAAGTATTATTATAGTGTACTAGCAGTACCCAGTCACACGTTGTTGTGGCTCAGCAACACACGTGTATTGCTGAGCCACAGCAACCTTCCCTGTTGCCAAGTCCTCCCCACCATTCCCCCTCACCTGTCTCCTCGGCCTCCCAACCATTCCCCACTCCCCCATCCCCTCTTCCTTCCCACCATGCCCCACTCCCCTGTTCCTTTGTCTTCCCCACCATTCTCCATTCCCCCATCCCCTCGTCCCCACCATCCCAAACTCCCCCGTCCTTTCGTCCTTCCCCACCATTACCCCCTCCCTTGTCCCCTCGTCCTCCCCACTATCTCTCACTTCCTTCCGTCCCCTCGTCATCCCCACCATTTCCCACTCCCTCGTCTGATGCCTTCCCAAATGGTCTGATGTTCCCATCAGAAAATTGGGAACGTGAAGTGATCTGATGTTCCCATCACTGAAATATAAGAAAAATAATTACAAAATGAAATGAAAATATGAAAAAAATATAAAAATAAACTATACTTACAAAATGAACGGTATGGTAAACAACACAGCTCAATTCCAACGCAATTCACACAAAATAATTAAATCAAAATGAAAATAAATCAAAATCTATGAAAATTCAATTTATCAATGCAATTAGAAACACTGAAATGGAATTCGTGACATATTTAGTATAGCGTGCATGTTGCTATTATGTACAACAGATGGCGCTGTTTTTCAAAAATGCATGTTTTTACCTGTCACAGGGGTGGCATCTATATATCTGTAGTAGGTATATAAAAAGACGCGCTTATTCGAATGCAACGTTGTCAAAATTTCAAAGCAATCTGTGAAGAACTTTCAGAGATTACAGCGTGTGTTGCTCTTACATCCAACAGATGGCGCTGTTTTTCAAAAAAAGCATGTTTTTTCCTGTCACAGGTGAGGCATGTATATAATAGATATATAAAAAGACGCACCTATTCGAGTGCAACGTTGTGTCAAAATTTCAAAGCAATCGAGGTTTCAAAGATTTCCCTCACATGAAATAAACAGTTTTTCAGAAAAAGCATGTTTTTTCACCGTCACAAATGTGACATCTATATAGTATGTATATAAAAAGCTGCTCGGATGCGAGTGAAACGTTGTGTGAAAATTTCAAAGCAATTGGTGAAGAACTTTCGGAGATTAGCGGTCATGCGCAAACGAACATTTCCATTTTTATTTATATAGATTTACATATGACTACAGCAAGTATTATTGTAGTGTATTTATGTATGACTACAGCAAGTATTATTGTAGTGTATTTATGTATGACTACAGCAAGTATTATTGTAGTTTACTTTTGTATGTTTTAGTGTTGTCAGTGAAGTATGGCAGTGTTGTCAGTGAAGTATGGCAGTGTTGTCAGTGTAGTATGGCAGTGTTGTCAGTGTAGTATGGCAGTGTTGTCAGTGAAGTATGGCAGTGTTGTCAGTGAAGTATGGCAGTGTTGTCAGTGTAGTATGGCAGTGTTGTCAGTGAAGTATGGCAGTGCTGTCAGTGTTGTATGGCAGTGTTGTCAGTGAAGTATGGCAGTGTTGTCAGAGAAGTATGGCAGTGTTGTCAGTGTAGTATGGCAGTGTTGTCAGTGAAGTATGGCAGTGTTGTCAGTGAAGTATGGCAGTGTTGTCAGTGAAGTATGGCAGTGTTGTCAGTGAAGTATGGCAGTGTTGTCAGTGAAGTATGGCAGTGTTGTCAGTGTAGTATGGCAGTGTTGTCAGTGAAGTATGGCAGTGTTGTCAGTGTAGTATGGCAGTGTTGTCAGTGAAGTATGGCAGTGTTGTCAGTGTAGTATGGCAGTGTTGTCAGTGTAGTATGACAGTGTTGTCAGTGAAGTATGGCAGTGTTGTCAGTGAAGTATGGCAGTGTTGTCAGTGAAGTATGGCAGTGTTGTCAGTGAAGTATGTCAGTGTAGTATGGCAGTGTTGTCAGTGTAGTATGGCAGTGTTGTCAGTGAAGTATGGCAGTGTTGTCAGTGAAGTATGGCAGTGTTGTCAGTGAAGTATGGCAGTGTTGTCAGTGAAGTATGGCAGTGTTGTCAGTGAAGTATGGCAGTGTTGTCAGTGAAGTATGGCAGTGTTGTCAGTGAAGTATGGCAGTGTTGTCAGTGTAGTATGGCAGTGTTGTCAGTGTAGTATGGCAGTGTTGTCAGTGTAGTATGGCAGTGTTGTCAGTGAAGTATGGCAGTGTTGTCAGTGAAGTATGGCAGTGTTGTCAGTGAAGTATGGCAGTGTTGTCAGTGTAGTATGGCAGTGTTGTCAGTGAAGTAAGGCAGTGTTGTCAGTGTAGTATGGCAGTGTTGTCAGTGAAGTATGGCAGTGTTGTCAGTGAAGTATGGCAGTGTTGTCATTGAAGTATGGCAGTGTTGTCAGTGAAGTATGGCAGTGTTGTCATTGAAGTATGGCAGTGTTGTCAGTGAAGTATGGCAGTGTTGTCAGTGTAGTATGGCAGTGTTGTCAGTGTAGTATGGCAGTGTTGTCAGTGTAGTATGGCAGTGTTGTCAGTGTAGTATGGCAGTGTTGTCAGTGAAGTATGGCAGTGTTGTCAGTGAAGTATGGCAGTGTTGTCAGTGTAGTATGGCAGTGTTGTCAGTGAAGTATGGCAGTGTTGTCAGTGTAGTATGGCAGTGATGGCAGTGTTGTCAGTGTAGTATGGCAGTGTTGTCAGTGTAGTATGGCAGTGTTGTCAGTGAAGTATGGCAGTGTTGTCAGTGAAGTATGGCAGTGTTGTCAGTGTAGTATGGCAGTGTTGTCAGTGAAGTATGGCAGTGTTGTCAGTGTAGTATGGCAGTGTTGTCAGTGTAGTATGGCAGTGTTGTCAGTGTAGTATGGCAGTGTTGTCAGTGTAGTATGGCAGTGTTGTCAGTGAAGTATGGCAGTGTTGTCAGTGTAGTATGGCAGTGTTGTCAGTGTAGCATGGCAGTGTTGTCAGTGTAGTATGGCAGTGTTGTCAGTGTAGCATGGCAGTGTTGTCAGTGTAGTATGGCAGTGTTGTCAGTGTAGCATGGCAGTGTTGTCAGTGTAGTATGGCAGTGTTGTCAGTGTAGTATGGCAGTGTTGTCAGTGAAGTATGGCAGTGTTGTCAGTGAAGTATGGTAGTGTTGTCAGTGAAGTATGGCAGTGTTGTCAGTGTAGTATGGCAGTGTTGTCAGTGAAGTATGGCAGTGTTGTCAGTGAAGTATGGCAGTGTTGTCAGTGAAGTATGGCAGAGCGAGAGAGGACCAATATATATAATAACTGAGTATATGGTAAGTAATGATGCAAGTGGATGTTAGTGGAATACAACTTGCTGAACACTGGTAGTAATTAGCCGCCGCCCTTGCAACATTCCATAGGTTTGTCACAGCTTTTCTTATCTTCTATGTGATGCATGTAAATATATATTACCTCTTACTTGTCAAGTTTGAGTGATAATGTTCATTAATATGCATATTAGTGTAATGTACTGGATGTCATATGCTGCATAGTGTCATAATATGCCCAGTACTTGCCACTTATTGTCACACGTCAATATTGCCGTCACTCCACTATTTATGTTCTTAAATGTCAAGTGAACTCTGCTGGGTGATAAAGGAGTGAGACTTGGAGAGAAAAACAGAGAAGTGCTCGATGGTTTATTTTATAAGATAATATTTCATGGCAGAAGTGAGCGGGTCGGGCAGCGGGAGCTCACGGCACAGTTCAGAGACGGGCGGAGAAACCAAGAGAGGGGGAGGCGGCGGCGGGGGTGGCTCGGAAGACTACGCCGAGATCGTCGATGACGAGGGTGACTATTCCACACCAGCAAGTGAGTACATGAGCCTCTTGTTAGTTTAGAAAAGTAATGGGGGGAAAAGTGAAGGAACAGGGCAACATATACGACTAGACTATCATGAATGTTACCGGCGATGGTGGGTGACTGGTTCATTAGAAGGTGGCAAGCACGACATTATCGTGCAGACCCATATGGACCCCTGGCTCCAGGGAACAACCAACGGACTGTTTCATTTCACTCGATACCCAGTTTTGTGCTTCACAAGGTGAGGAGCTGTATGTTGTAGCAGTCCTTGTCTGTACGATGGTGATACTTGAGTATACCTGGTAGTACTGGACTACTGTGTGAGCAGAGTATACCTGGTAGTACTGGACTACTGTGTGAGCATACAGAGTATACCTGGTAGTACTGGACTACTGTGTGAGCATAGTATACCTGGTAGTACTGGACTACTGTGTGAGCATACAGAGTATACCTAGTAGTACTGGACTACTGTGTGAGCATACAGAGTATACCTAGTAGTACTGGACTACTGTGTGAGCAGAGTATACCTGGTAGTACTGGACTACTGTGTAAGCAGAGTATACCTGGTAGTACTGGACTACTGTGTGAGCAGAGTATACCTGGTAGTACTGGACTACTGTGTGAGCAGAGTATACCTGGTAGTACTGGACTACTGTGTGAGCAGAGTATACCTGGTAGTACTGGACTACTGTGTGAGCAGAGTATACCTGGTAGTACTGGACTACTGTGTGAGCAGAGTATACCTGGTAGTACTGGACTACTGTGTGAGCAGAGTAGTACTGGACTGCTTTCTGAGCATACAAAGTATACCTGGTAGTACTGGACTGCTCTTTGAGCATACAGAGTATACCTGGTAGTACTGGACTGCTCTTTGAGCATACAGAGTTTACCTGGTAGTACTGGACTGCTCTCTGAGCATACAGAGTATACCTGGTAGTACTGGACTGCTCTCTGAGCATACAGAGTATACCTGGTAGTACTGGACTGCTCTTTGAGCATACAGAGTATACCTGGTAGTACTGGACTGCTCTCTGAGCATACAGAGTATACCTGGTAGTACTGGACTGCTCTCTGAGCATACAGAGTATACCTGGTAGTACTGGACTGCTGTGTGAGCATACAGAGTATACCTGGTAGTACTGGACTGCTGTGTGAGCATACAGAGTATACCTGGTAGTACTGGACTGCTGTGTGAGCATACAGAGTATACCTGGTAGTACTGGACTGCTGTGTGAGCATACAGAGTATACCTGGTAGTACTGGACTGCTGTGTGAGCATACAGGTCTGCACGATGGATATTCATCCACTTCAATTATTGAATTCATTTAGTATAAGAGAATTTATATTGTTGCATCATATTAATGTCTTTTTAGCTGAAGATAATGAACTGGAGGTTTGTATTCATTATTCTTAGAATATAATGTCCACTATCTTTCCCACAGCCAAAGATTACGAACTGGAGAGATCGAACATAGATGTTGGAGAAATCATTGGGGAGGGACAGTTTGGTGACGTGCACAAGGGGGTCTACCACTCGCGGGATGACTCCAATGTGCTGGTCGCCATCAAGACCTGCAAAGTAGAATCGGAAGGCACCATGGCCGAGAAGTTTTTAGAGGAAGCCTGTAAGTTGTATCATTTCTTCTTGTGTTATATATTATTAAATGGAATCCCTCATTGTTTGGATCCCAATTTTCCTTATGCATGAGTTAATAATAAATATAAGTACCATTTGCAGACTTCCATCCCAATTTATTGGGCATAACTGATTAGCAGGAAGACCATCTCCACTAACCAGTAAGTCTCTGTGCCATACTGGAGAAACATAAGCATCCTTACCTAATTTAACCAAATAAATCCATGGCAACCATATGTAAAGTGATGGATGAAAGAAATATAATGTTTAATAATGTAAGGCTGGTAGGAGCCACAACACTACTTCAGAGAGGGCAAATCATACTTAACACTTTCGCGCTTTAGATTAGAGATAACTCGTCGCCGTTTTTTCTTACGATTCCGCATAACAGCCTACTTTTCTCGTCCATCGAAAAAATATTTCTATAAATTCCATTTTTTAACCGAAATGGATGGGGATACTCTCAGATTATATACGTTTTGTAGAGAATTTATTTGCGAATTTTTTGGTATCAGAATGAATATTATATCACATAAACTTCTATGAGTAAAAAAAAAAAATACACAAAGTATGTTTGGGGGTGTGGCGAGCGTGTGGCAGTGGGTTCCCTTTAGCCGTTGATATATCCAAGACGTGGGAAATATTTGTATGTGTTATGTATATGTCTGTGTAGGGAATTTTACTGCGATCACTGTCATACAAATTATAAAATGTTTCAACAAGTATAAACATGACAAACATCAAACGAACGAAAACAATGCGTTCGTTTCTGCCGCGAACGCATACTGAGCGACGTGGTTCTATATTTGGCGTTTCTCTTACACATGCTTTGTACAAATGTTATACATTTCATCTTATAGAAAATTTTATTGCGAACACATTGGTATAAAAAAGAAATACGTATATAGAAAAGTAGGGTCAGGAAAGTATAAACTTTCCAAGCATGATTTCCCCCCTGTGTTTTCGCCAGTGCGCTCGCGGCTAACTACTCTCCACTTCACACACTCTTGTGGGTGGGCAATTACCTATATTAAACATTCATATGCATATGTCCGTGTAGAGAATTTTATTGCGATTCCAATGATACCAAAATTAGCGATGTAGGACAACTGTAGGCTTCGCAACCATTAAGAGAGTGGAAACATTTTGTTGCTGTTTGGCGCTCTCGGCGAGTGATCTGCATAGTTTTTTATTTGGTGTTGATACTCCTTATGCTTGGGCGGCATTTTATAGGTATGCTCTTATAGACAATTTCATTGCGAACACAGTGATACCAAATTTAAATACGTGCGCCTTCAATTATTGTCAGGACAGTCAAAAGAGTGTACACTTTCTCGGTCTTACCGCGTAGGCGCGCGAAGTGCCGAAAGCATCTGGGGTATTGTTTTTTTTGAGCGTCGAGAGCGCGAAAGTGTTAACAAACTTGATTGAAATGTATGACAGGAGTCAGCAATATATGACAAGAGTAGGAAGGATGGGTAAACCACATCTTTCTATACTGCTAAACACCTTTAGATGTAATTCATCACAAAAGCTAATGCGAGCTGCTCTAAGCAACAGTCTGTTGGACCAAGTTATCACATGTCGAGACTGTCCTCAGGCCAGACTCGGGGAGTAGAAGAACTCCCAGAACCCTCTACAGGTATGCTCCAGGTAATATGCATGATGGAGAAACAGGCAGAGACAGCAGTAAGGCTCCAGACTGGTATGGGAGTATAGTGGAACCTCTATTAACGAGTGGCTCTATTAACGAGTTTTTCCAGTAACGAGCAAGCCACTCGCAGCAAATTTGTCTCTATTGACGAGCTCGCCTCTATTAACGAGTGAAACCACATGGCGCTTCCTAGCATCTCGCGGGTTCTCGCAAATTCTCGGACGCCTCCGACGCCAGTGTTGTTGTTGTATCTCACACGACAAGCATCCCTTTGGATTTATTTGAGCTTTTCTTTGGGTTTTTAGTGGTTTTGCGACTACAATTTGTAACACACGATGTCTCCAAAGAAGCTGCTTGCTAAAGATAGTGTTTTCAAGAGGAAGAAAGACACAATTATTATGGATTTCAAGAAGGAAATTATAGCAAAGCATGAGTGTGGTGTCTGTGTGATTGATCTCACAAGGAAGTATGGCAGGTCCTCATCAACAATTTACACCATTAGTAAGGGAATGAGGAGATAAGGGAGGATGCTGCCTCTTCCACTGAGATCAGGGAAGTGTTTGGAATGTTTGAAAAGGTGAACGCATTCTTGGAAAAGCTGCCCTGATAAAGCAGTGACAACCCAGTGTGTGAAAATGTTTAATTAATTTATCACTTTGTGATAACACTTTATGAAAGTGTTATCACTTTCGCAGGTATATGTCGCTTGAACGTAACACACTTTTTTTCTCTTGAATGCACCCAAACACCGCGCTCAAGCATCATTTGAGCAAATATTTCTATAAAATCCATTACTTATCAGATCGACTTGGGGATTGTATACATGTTTGCCATGAAATTTCCGTTTTCTTTAATAACCACATTGCCTATTTAAGAAAACGGCATTGTATTGTATCTTCATGGTAAGACTATTATATTGTTGACACAACGAGTGTATTCAACGTAGTTTTTTATTTGGTGCTGGTCTAACGCATCCTTGTGTGACATTTGAAATGAAATTTGGGTGAAATTCCCAAGAAGAGAGAGTCCGCCTGACTCAGAGGTGAATTCTCCTTCCACACCATAACCCCTCTCCTCCTTCCCACCTCCCCATCGTCTCCCTCCAGCCAGCAACTACTCTTCATAAGGTAAAGTAAATATTAAAACACTACAACAAAACATTTATATTTACATGTGCAGTATTATATTTACATAAAAAAAGTCATACAAGTATGGATGTTTTTGGGAGTGGAACGGATTAAATTTATTTCCTTTATTTTAAATGGGGAAATTTGTTTCCAAAGACGAGTTTTCCAGGTAACGAGCTCGGTGCCAGAACGGATTAAACTCGTTAATAGAGGTTCTACTGTACTTGACAGAAGGAGACAACGGGTCACAGTCAGAGAGGATACGTCAGGCTGGAGAGGATTGGAAAGTGGTGTTCCACACACGGCTCTGTCTGAGGACCATTACTCTATTTAATTAATGTAAATGACCTTGCAGCAATTTGTACATGTCGATGCTTGCAGATGATGCATAATTAATATGGAAAGTAAGAACTGAAAAGGACTGTAGAGTGCTGCAAGAAGGAACACCTTGACAAACTTCAGAAGTGGGCAGATAAATGGCTGCTGGAATTCAATCCAAATAAGAGTAAAGTAATGAAAATGGGGTAAAAGAGACGAGACGTATAAGTACTTGACACTTTCGCTCGGTAGCGACTCAGCATTGCGTCGTTTTTTTAGTAGACGTACTTCCAGTAACGACGCAGCATTGCGTCGCTGGCGGCGGCAGCTTTGGGAGGGACGCGCCATGGTTTTTTATATTATATGCAAGTACTCCTGTAGGGAATTTCATTGCAGATACATTGATACCAAAACGAAAGACCTAGGACCAGAATTGAGGTAACAAAGTTGACAAGAATATACCCATTATATTAGTGCTCACTGGGGTTACGCTCCATCACTTTCTGTTTGCTGTGGGTGGTACGCCTGGCTTTTGGACTTTATATTTGCATATACTCCTGTAGGGAATTCTATTGCAAACATAATGTTATCAAACTGAAAGACCTAAGACGAGAATTAAGATGTCCAAAGTGAAGAGACTGTACACATTTTATTGCTCTTGCATGCTTCTGGGTAATACGCTTTTACGTTCTCAATTTTCCCGCCAAGCTTTTGGGTTTTATATGCATTTAGTCCTGTAGAGAATTCTATTGCGAACACATTGATACCAAATTGAAAAACCTAGGACGAGAAATGAGATGACAAAGTGGAAAAGAGTATACAGTTTTCAGTATTATCGCGCTCTCTAATGTAATGAGAGGCGCCTTGGGGTGGTGCAGTGCTCTCTTTCTGGGTCACTTTCATCTTGTCGGCGGGTGGAGCGCGCTGCAGTTTTTTACATTATATGTATATACTCTTCTTGGGAATTCTATTGCGAACACAATGATACCAAAATGAAAGACCTAGGATGAGAATTGACGTGACCAAAGTGAAAAGACCGTACACATTTTATCGCTCTTGCGCACTCCCCGGTAACACGCTCTCACTTTCTCTGTTTGTTGTGGATGGTACGCCGGGCTTTTGGACTTTATATGCCTTTAGTCCTGTAGAGAATTCTATTGCGTACACAATGATTCCAAATTGAAAAACCTTGGACGAGAAATGAGGTGACAAAGTTGAAAAGAGTACTGTATACACTTTTCAGAATTACCGTGTGCTCCTGTGAAACGATGAACCCCACCTGGGGTAGTGCGGGTCTCGTGCGCACGGTGAACGAAAGTGTTAACTATGCCATAAAGTGAAGGCAATTACTAGAAAAAAAAAAATGACCTGAGAGTCGATACAATCCCAATATTAACACCGGAAGCTCACGTTAGGAGGATAACATCAGCAGCATTAGGAAGTTACCAAACATAAAAATGTCATTTAAGAACGTAAACAAGGTTTTCAAGTCCATACACTTCCTATGTGAGCCTTACTTGAGTATGCAGCACCAACATGGAACCCACACACTCATCCCTCCAGTAGTGAGTCTGCTGTATACCTGACCCATCCCTCCAGGACTGTGTCTGCTGTATACCTGACCCATCCCTCCAGGACTGTGTCTGCTGTATACCTGACCCATCCCTCCAGGACTGTGTCTGCTGTATACCTGTGACCCATCCCTCCAGGACTGTATACCTGACCCATCCCTCCAGTACTGGGTCTGCTGTATACCTGACCCATCCCTCCAGGACTGTGTCTGCTGTATACCTGACCCATCCCTCCAGGACTGTGTCTGCTGTATACCTGTGACCCATCCCTCCAGGACTGTGTCTGCTGTATACCTGTGACCCATCCCTCCAGGACTGTGTCTGCTGTATACCTGTGACCCATCCCTCCAGGACTGTATACCTGACCCATCCCTCCAGTACTGGGTCTGCTGTATACCTGACCCATCCCTCCAGGACTGTGTCTGCTGTATACCTGACCCATCCCTCCAGTACTGGGTCTGCTGTATACCTGACCCATCCCTCCAGGACTGTGTCTGCTGTATACCTGACCCATCCCTCCAGGACTGTGTCTGCTGTATACCTGTGACCCATCCCTCCAGGACTGTATACCTGACCCATCCCTCCAGTACTGGGTCTGCTGTATACCTGACCCATCCCTCCAGGACTGTGTCTGCTGTATACCTGACCCATTCCTCCAGTACTGGGTCTGCTGTATACCTGACCCATCCCTCCAGGACTGTGTCTGCTGTATACCTAACCCATCCCTCCAGTACTGGGTCTGCTGTATACCTGACCCATCCCTCCAGGACTGTGTCTGCTGTATACCTGACCCATCCCTCCAGTACTGGGTCTGCTGTATACCTGACCCATCCCTCCAGGACTGTGTCTGCTGTATACCTAACCCATCCCTCCAGTAGTGTGTCTGCTGTATACCTGACCCATCCCTCCAGTATTGTGTCTGCTGTATACCTGACCCATCCCTCCAGTACTGTGTCTGCTGTATACCTGACCCATCCCTCCAGTAGTGTGTCTGCTGTATACCTAACCCATCCCTCCAGTAGTGTGTCTGCTGTATACCTGACCCATCCCTCCAGTAGTGTGTCTGCTGTATACCTGACCCATCCCTCCAGTAGTGTGTCTGCTGTATACCTGACCCATCCCTCCAGTAGTGTGTCTGCTGTATACCTGACCCATCCCTCCAGTACTGTGTCTGCTGTATACCTGACCCATCCCTCCAGGACTGTGTCTGCTGTATACCTGACCCATCCCTCCAGGACTGTGTCTGCTGTATACCTGACCCATCCCTCCAGGACTGTGTCTGCTGTATACCTGACCCATCCCTCCAGGACTGTGTCTGCTGTATACCTGACCCATCCCTCTAGTACTGTGTCTGCTGTATACCTGTGACCCATCCCTCCAGGACTGTGCAGCTAACTCACCTTTATCTGCTCTTTTCCTTGTCTACTGATCTTTTACATTTACAAATTGTGTAATATGATTGATTGTGTAATTTTGTGTTAAAGGATATAATTTTGGGTTAATTGAGTCAGAATGTTAATCCAGTGGTTGATGGCACTGCAGATATTATGCAACAGTTCGATCATCCACACATCATCAAGCTCATCGGCATCTGCTCGGGGTGGCCATTTTGGATCGTGATGGAGCTTGCAAGATTCGGGGAGATGAGAGCCTATCTTCAGAACAACAAGGACCGTCTCAACCTGGCCACTCTAGTCCTCTACGCCTTCCAGCTCTCCACAGCTCTCTCCTACCTGGAGAGCAAGAAGTTTGTTCATAGGTACACACTTATAACAATAATACAACTTTGACGAGTGTGCATTCTCTCTACGTGATAGTCACCTATTTTTGTGAACGTGATAGATATATAGCAGTGTCAAGTTGGCCAGAGGATTTAGTTTAGGCAGCAGAGATATCAGCTGTGTTAGTTTAGGGAGCACAGATATCATGTGTGTTAGTTTAGGCAGCAGAGATATCAGCTGTGTTAGTTTAGGGAGCAGAGATATTAGCTGTGTTTAGGGAGCAGAGATATTAGCTGTGTTAGTTTAGGGAGCAGAGATATCAGCTGTGTTAGTTTAGGGAGCAGAGATATCAGCTGTGTTAGTTTAGGGAGCAGAGATATCAGCTGTGTTAGTTTAGAGAGCAGAGATATCAGCTGTGTTAGTTTAGGGAGCAGAGATATCAGCTGTGTTAGTTTAGGGAGCAGAGATATCAGCTGTGTTAGTTTAGGGAGCAGAGATATCAGCTGTGTTAGTTTAGGGAGCAGAGATATCAGCTGTGTTAGTTTAGGGAGCAGAGATATCAGCTGTGTTAGTTTAGGGAGCAGAGATATCAGCTGTGTTAGTTTAGAGAGCAGAGATATTAGCTGTGTTAGTTTAGGGAGCAGAGATATCAGCTGTGTTAGTTTAGGGAGCAGAGATATCAGCTGTGTTAGTTTAGGGAGCAGAGATATCAGCTGTGTTAGTTTAGAGAGCAGAGATATCAGCTGTGTTAGTTTAGGGAGCAGAGATATCAGCTGTGTTAGTTTAGAGAGCAGAGATATCAGCTGTGTTAGTTTAGGGAGCAGAGATATCAGCTGTGTTAGTTTAGGGAGCAGAGATATCAGCTGTGTTAGTTTAGGGAGCAGAGATATCAGCTGTGTTAGTTTAGGGAGCAGAGATATCAGCTGTGTTAGTTTAGGGAGCAGAGATATCAGCTGTGTTAGTTTAGGGAGGGAAGAACAGGTGTATTAGTTTAGGGAGGGAAGAACAGGTGTGTTAGTTTAGGGAGGGAAGAACACGTGTGTTAGTTTAGGGAGGGAAGAACACGTGTGTTAGTTTAGGGAAGGAAGAACAGGTGTTTTAGTTTAGGGAAGGAAGAACAGGTGTATTAGTTTAGGGAGGGAAGAACACGTGTGTTAGTTTAGGGAGGGAAGAACAGGTGTGTTAGTTTAGGGAGGGAAGAACACGTGTGTTAGTTTAGGGAGGGAAGAACACGTGTGTTAGTTTAGGGAGGGAAGAACAGGTGTATTAGTTTAGGGAGGGAAGAACAGGTGTATTAGTTTAGGGAGGGAAGAACAGGTGTGTTAGTTTAGGGAGGGAAGAACAGGTGTATTAGTTTAGGGAGGGAAGAACAGGTGTGTTAGTTTAGGGAAGGAAGAACAGGTGTATTAGTTTAGGGAGGGAAGAACAGGTGTATTAGTTTAGGGAGGGAAGAACAGGTGTATTAGTTTAGGGAGGGAAGAACAGGTGTGTTAGTTTAGGGAAGGAAGAACAGGTGTATTAGTTTAGGGAGCAGATTTACAGCTGTATTGAGTCTTGTCAACAATTTGATATCTTTGGAAAGCTGTCATAGTGACAAGATACAAAGTATATGAATACTGTACATGTTACCAGAATGTGAATGTTGTCTTATTCAATGTACTCGAGTGTTTCAGACAATGCAGTTGCCTTGTCTCTAGATGCTGCAGTCATCTGCCACTTGCAGTACTGTTTTAAGCTGGCAGACTTTGGCTTGTGTTGTTACCTGCATAAAAACTGCAACTATAATGCCTCGTCTAATTTGTTCTTGTACTTAGGGACATTGCTGCAAGGAACGTTTTGGTATATTCCCACGACTGTGTCAAGTTGGCAGACTTCGGGTTGTCGCGGTGGGTGGAGGAACAGAGCTATTATAAGGCCAGCAAGGGCAAGCTTCCCATCAAGTGGATGGCTCCTGAGAGCATCAACTTTAGAAGATTTACTAGTGCCAGTGATGTCTGGATGTTTGGTAAGTTATTAGTGATGTCTGGAGGTTTTGAAGTTTATATTTATTCTGTATATTAATTCAATGAACTTGTATTATTGTGTGTTAATGATAATTTGTTGTTCAACTTGTATTATTGTTCAGGTGTATGTATGTGGGAGATATTGATGCTGGGGGTGAAGCCATTTCAAGGGATCAAGAACAATGACGTAATTAAAAGAATTGACAATGGAGAGCGCTTGGCTCTGCCTCAGAATTGTCCGCCACGTCTCTACTCGCTCATGTCCCTCTGCTGGACCTACGAGCCCTCAAAACGCCCCTCCTTCAAGGAAATTAAGGAAGTGTTAAGGTGAGTGGCTCTTCACGACATAAATTGTCCAGTAACCATCAGCTGATGATGTTGCATTTATGAATAAGTCTTTCCTTTCATTAGCCGAGTCTTGTGTATGTGAATGAGAGTTCTGCCGAGGCCGACTTGAAGACTTTTGTTTTTGCTTATTGCACTGTGTAGTTGTTGTCAACCTCGTTATCATTGTCAACCTTGTTATCGCATCATTAGTGCTGTAAATTGTGTAAATCGTGATTGGTCTTTATCTTGGCAAGTGTCACTTGTTGATGACTGTTCCAACCATGTGCTGTCCTGTCTCTTGTTGATGACTGTTCCAACCATCTGCCATTGAAGACTGTTCTTGAGAACTGTTCCAAGAGTCTGCCCGTGTAAGTGGAGACTGTTGGAAATGGTGTTGCACCTGTGGCCATTAAATCCAGTTTGTCCATATTGTGCAGGAATATTCCTGAGTGGGCCCTAAGCCTCTGGTTGGCCCAGTAAGTGTTACTTGTTTCCGTCTGAGGCGGTGGATGATTATTTATGACTCATATGTTGGTTTTGATAAGGTTTAACAAATTCTTCCGTGCTGTGAAATATCAGTGAAAATCTTACTGGGTTTGTAACTGTGCATTCCCAAGTACACACAATTAAATCGAAGAGATATAAGAAAGCTCTCGTTCCCTGTATAGGTGGTAGGCAAGTGGAATGTATTGAAGGAATAGGTTGTTGAAGCCAGTTCCATCCACAATTTTAAAAAGAAATATAATTAAATGTTAATGTTGGGAGGGGCTATTAGCGTGCCAGGTATGAACGGCCAGGAGGCAGGGCATGACGACCAGGAGCTCTCTTCCCTTGTAGTGACTGACAGGTAAGACCAGGAATGGTCGGTCAGGAGGCAGGGCATGAGGACCAGGAGCTCTCTTCCCTAGTAGTCACTGGCAGGTAAGACCAGGTATGGTTGGCCAGGAGACAGGGCATGAGGACCAGGAGCTCTCTTCCCTTGTAGTGACTGACAGGTAAGACCAGGTATGGTCGCTCAGGAAGCGGGGCATGACGACCAGGAGCTCTCTTCCCTTGTAGTGACTGACAGGTAAGACCAGGTATGGTCGGTCAGGAAGCGGGGCATGACGACCAGGAGCTCTCTTCCCTTGTAGTGACTGACAGGTAAGACCAGGTATGGTCGGTCAGGAAGCGGGGCATGACGACCAGGAGCTCTCTTCCCTTGTAGTGACTGACAGGTAAGCACATGGATATCCAAGCCTGATGCAATGTAAGTGCTCTTCTGTTCTTATGTTGTTGCTTTTCATCAAAATGAGTGGTTCAGAGTTGGTTGAATTCTTGCACCGACTGACAGTTCTTAATATTCCAGCTGCTGCGTTGTGATCACTTTACATCTTCTGCATTGCTCTAGCTCTAATAATTTTCTTAATCTGTGCTAGACTTTATGGTAAGTAAATGTCTACATTCCTCCACTTAGTTGCAAGTTTTGCAGGTTCATCTGCCAAAAATGCTTAACTTCTTAGTATTGCTACATGACTTGGCAACCAATTGATAAGTATCCAACACCCTTGACTTTAAGTTGTTGTTATTACTTTACACCGCCGGTATGAGCACTTTTGTGCACTGACTACATGCCGCTCTTTGTGAAGAAGTGCTTCCTATTGTCCTTCTCAGTCACTGGAATCATGTCTTCAGAACATTATAGTTAATGTTATACTCTTTAGCAAGTGGTGTATGTTATGTGTGCTTACTTATCAATGTCTACAGGGAACAAGCTCTGGCTCTTGGGCTCTGCCCCATGAAGACAGGTGAAGTTGTGTATATTTTGTGATGCCACCCATGTTGGTGACCCGCCACCCATGTTGGTGACCCGCCACCCATGTTGGTGACCCGCCACCACCCATGTTGGTGACCCACCACCACCCATGTTGGTGACCCACCACCACCCATGTTGGTGACCCACCACCACCCATGTTGGTGACCCACCACCCATGTTGGTGACCCACCACCCATGTTGGTGACCCACCGCCCATGTTGGTGACCCACCACCCATGTTGGTGACCCACCACCCATGTTGGTGACCCATCACCCATGTTGGTGACCCACCACCCATGTTGGTGACCCGTCACCCATGTTGGTGGCCCACCACCCATGTTGGTGACCCACCACCCATGTTGGTGACCCGTCACCCATGTACGGTGTCTTTTTGGTAACATTACTTAAGTGAAGATAGTATACTTTAGGGAGGCAACTATTCCATTATTAGACCTTAATTTTATCTATATAATGTGGTAATTTGTTTTGCAGTGAGATCCTGAGGGAAGAAAGAATGCAGCAACACGAGACGATGCGGCGAGAGAATCGTCGCGTGCAGGGCATGTCTTGGGGTGAGTAGGACATGTCTTGGAGTGAGTAGGACATGTCTTAGGGTGAGTAGGACATGTCTTAGGGTGAGTAGGACATGTCTTGGGGTGAGTAGGACATGTCTTGGGGTGAGTAGGACATGTCTTGGGGTGAGTAGGACATGTCTTGGGGTGAGTAGGACATGTCTTGGGGTGAGTAGGACATGTCTTGGGGTGAGTAGGACATGTCTTGGGGTGAGTAGGACATGTCTTGGGGTGAGTAGGACATGTCTTGGGGTGAGTAGGACATGTCTTGGGGTGAGTAGGACATGTCTTGGGGTGAGTAGGACATGTCTTGGGGTGAGTAGGACATGTCTTGGGGTGAGTAGGACATGTCTTGGGGTGAGTAGGACATGTCTTGGGGTGAGTAGGACATGTCTTAGGATGAGTAGTTACAACACTACACTAATGACAACTGAAGGTCAAGGAAAATGGTGTCAATAGTCAAAATATGGCATGGTGGTGATTGTTGTTGCCTTGTCCTGTTCTGCTGGCCTCGGTGCCCTTTGTCCCCAGGGTACATGTCCCCTCCTTTGTCACCACTCCTGTCTTCTCCCTCCATTTTCTCCCCATATGGTGGTCTCCCCTTCCCCATGGAGAGTGTCACAGCACCATAGGTATTGTCATGGAACCATGGAGAATGTCATAAGGCAGACATGATCACCACCTATAAAATTCTCAGATGAATTAACAGGGTAGATAGAGACAAACTATTTAGTATGGGTGTTATGCGAACAAGAGGGACACAAGTAGAAATCAAATGAGCCACAGATACATTAGAAAGAACTTTTCCAGTGTCAGAGTAGTTAACAGGTGGAATGCATTAGGCAGTGATGTGGTGGAGGCTGACTCCATACACAGTTTATAATGTAGATATGATAGAGCCCAGTAGGCTCAGGAACCTGTACACCTGTTGATTGACAGTTGAGAGGCGGGACCAAAGAGCCACAGCTCAACCCCCACAAGCACAACTAGGTGAGTATTGGACCATAGATATTGTCACAGAATCATGGGGGAATGTGACAGGACCATGGAGAATGTGACAGGACCATGGGAGAATGTGACAGGACCATGGGAGAATGTGACAGAACCATGGAGAATGTGACAGGACCATGGAGAATGTGACAGGACCATGGAGAATGTGACAGGACCATGGAGAATGTGACAGGACCATGGAGAATGTGACAGGACCATGGGGGAATGTGACAGGACCATGGAGAATGTGACAGGACCATGGGAGAATGTGACAGGACCATGGAGAATGTGACAGGACCATGGGGGAATGTGACAGGACCATGGAGAATGTGACAGGACCATGGAGAATGTGACAGGACCATGGGGGAATGTGACAGGACCATGGAGAATGTGACAGGACCATGGGGGAATGTGACAGGACCATGGAGAATGTGACAGGACCATGGAGAATGTGACAGGACCATGGAGAATGTGACAGGACCATGGAGAATGTGACAGGACCATGGGAGAATGTGACAGGACCATGGAGAATGTGACAGGACCATGGGGGAATGTGACAGGACCATGGAGAATGTGACAGGACCATGGAGAATGTGACAGGACCATGGAGAATGTGACAGGACCATGGAGAATGTGACAGGACCATGGAGAATGTGACAGGACCATGGAGAATGTGACAGGACCATGGGGGAATGTGACAGGACCATGGAGAATGTGACAGGACCATGGAGAATGTGACAGGACCATGGAGAATGTGACAGGACCATGGAGAATGTGACAGGACCATGGAGAATGTGACAGGACCATGGGAGAATGTGACAGGACCATGGGAGAATGTGATAGGACCATGGAGAATGTGACAGGACCATGGAGAATGTGACAGGACCATGGGGGAATGTGACAGGACCATGGAGAATGTGACAGGACCATGGAGAATGTGACAGGACCATGGAGAATGTGACAGGACCATGGGAGAATGTGACAGGACCATGGGAGAATGTGATAGGACCATGGAGAATGTGACAGGACCATGGGGGAATGTGACAGGACCATGGAGAATGTGACAGGACCATGGGAGAATGTGACAGGACCATGGAGAATGTGACAGGACCATGGAGAATGTGACAGGACCATGGGGGAATGTGACAGGACCATGGAGAATGTGACAGGACCATGGGGGAATGTGACAGGACCATGGGGGAATGTGACAGGACCATGGGGGAATGTGACAGGACCATGGAGAATGTGACAGGACCATGGGGGAATGTGACAGGACCATGGGGGAATGTGACAGGACCATGGAGAATGTGACAGGACCATGGGGGAATGTGACAGGACCATGGGGGAATGTGACAGGACCATGGAGAATGTGACAGGACCATGGAGAATGTGACAGGACCATGGGGGAATGTGACAGGACCATGGGGGAATGTGACAGGACCATGGAGAATGTGACAGGACCATGGGGGAATGTGACAGGACCATGGAGAATGTGACAGGACCATGGGGGAATGTGACAGAACCATGGGGGAATGTGACAGGACCATGGAGAATGTGACAGGACCATGGAGAATGTGACAGGACAAAGGAGAATGTGACAGGACCATGGGAGAATGTGACAACCATTTATTTTGTAATGGGACCGTGATTGGAGGAAATTAATTAGCAAATGGATTAGATGTATTGGTGGGTGAACTAGTTGAGTTTATGGGTTGATTATGGCCTGTCAATCATATTGTTTTAACATTGAAATATCTTTGTGTAGAGTTGAGTTGACCACAGGTTCATAATGATACAAATATGTTGCTCAGGTTCTGATGAGCCGCCACCCAAGCCAGCTCGAGTTCCGATAATGGTTGGTGGAAGAGGACACACTTCAACACCTCCCCCTCCCTCTGGTGTTGGGTCGCCGCCTCTCTACGCCCCCTCGCAGGTCAGTAGCGGTGGTCCCACCACCTACATCGTCGCCCAGACTCCAGAAGTGCTCAGTCAGCTGTTGCGAGACGACCACAACCGGGCCGCCAATACTCCGGGCTCGTACATTTCCCCGGCCTCGGTCCTCAACACCCTGCCCGTTGACTTCGTCTCAACGCCGCGTTCCCCCCCTGCTGTCGCCGCCACGCAGTCCAACCCCCACTCCCCTTTCTCAACTCTGTCGCACCCTCAGTCATCTCATTCTGGGCCGTCTCATCACAGCAGCGGCCATTACTCTCCCCACTCTACTCTATCCGCTCCTCATTCTCCACTTGGCTCCCCCTCGGGAGCATCCACAAGACGTCGAGGCGGGCGAGGGGGCACGCTGGAGCGCGGGGCATCAGCAGCAGCGGGGGGAGGCTGGGGCGGAGCCAGTTCGGGGGGTTCCGGTTCACCGTCGCCGGTGCCTTTCTCGCCACCATCTACACTAGTCAAGGTTGGGTTGTCATAATATTGGTGGAGGCACGATGATGACGCTGATACTGCACGACCTAGAGCCACCATAGCGCCAGCATGCTCGGTGTTAGCATGGGGGAAGGGTAGGGTAGTCACGAGGCGCGAGTACCCTCTCTTCACCCACAATTCATTCTCCATATACACAGCCTAAGTTTTGCACCAGTCTTGTGTTAATTTTAAGCTAATGCAACTCAGAAGAACTACCGTAGTTACACACAGCAAACTCGGCAAGAAGTGGGCAGGAGTGAGAGAACGCTGTGGGTCTGCTAAACAATGAAGTTGTACCAGAGAAGGAAGAATTCTTTTAACTTGTTTTAACTTGTCTCTTGGTAATTTTGGCTTGGGGAAAAGAAATTTTCCATCTTTGGTAGCCTGTTAGTAGTGACAACTTTTCTACTCCAAAGTGAACCTCTTACTTGAAAATAACTATTTATTTGAGAACGTACATCTTACTTGATATTTTATGGTAACATTTGATAAGCATTATTTTCATAAAATTTTTACTTGAATAAAACTCATTCTAAGAAATATTGTGTAGTGTAAATTCTTGGATACTAAGTGGACTGGTTAAAAGGTCAGCCCCATACAGTTGTCTAAGGTGTTGTTAAAGATAATTACCGAGGAAACACAGCATGGTGCCGACCGACCAGCATGGTGCCGACCGACCAGCATGGTGCCGACCGACCAGCATGGTGCCGACCGACCAGCATGCTGCTGACCGACCAGCATGGTGCTGACCGACCAGCATGGTGCTGACCGACCAGCATGGTGCTGACCGACCAGCATGGTGCTGACCCACCAGCATGGTGCTGACCCACCAGCATGGTGCTGACCGACCAGCATGGTGCCGACCGACCAGCATGGTGCTGACCCACCAGCATGGTGCTGACCGACCAGCTGGGGTGTTGGTGTCGTTGTAGTTCCAAGCCAGCATGACTCAGATATTCTAATATTTAATGTTCTGACTACATCAGCTAAGATATTACAACATTATGCAGTTATTTTTTCTCTTTATATCCCTACAAGAAGCCACAACTGTAAGGCTTCCGTTACACCAGAAATAACAAATTTCCTTAAATGTTATGTTGATTGTCATCTTGTGAGAACTCTTCCCGGTCTCTTGTTGATTGTCATCTTGTGAGAACTCTTCCCGGTCTCTTGTTGATTGTCATCTTGTGAGAACTCTTCCCGGTCTCTTGTTGATTGTCATCTTGTGAGAAC